GTGCCACCACGCCCAGCTAATGTTTTATATTTTTAGTAGAAACGGGGTTTCACCATGTTGGCCAGGCTCGTCTCTAACTCTCCACCTCAAGTGATCCACTCGCCTTGGCCTCCCAAAGTGCTGAGATTACAAGAGTGAGCCACCGTGCCTGGCCCACCCCATTCTTTAGAGTCATGGCCTGGCCGTGACACCGGCCCCCAAAGGCATGGTGGCCAGGTCTGTACACATCCAGCCCATTCCCTGCATAGAGATCCCAGGAAGAGGTGTCCCACTAGTGACTTCTGAGGAAAAGAGTCATGCAGGGTGAGAGCTTAACCAAGGACATTAGGGATCTGCTCAGCAAGTAGGGCTCAGGGCAGTTGGGGCAGTCATCTGCCTTTTCCTTCAGTGGGCTGCAGGGGCCCCGAAGAGGTGATGTGCAAGGACATGCTGCAGATTTTGCAGGAGTGCATGCTCCTTCATGCATGAGTCAATGCTGGCTGCACGTCCACTATGCACACGACACTGTTGAGAAGAAAGAAGAGCAGTCAGTTGGCCCAAAGCAGAAGCAGATGGCAATGATCGTGACAATCATTTCAGCAATTAGGCAAGTAGGGAAAAGCAGGCTGTAACTAAAATCGTAGGTTAAAAACTACATGGAAGGCGTCGGGAAGGACTGGAAGGGAGTTAATGTATGTGAAGGCACTTGCGCTTTCAGGAAGAGGGAGGGAATAGTACACCTGCTGGCCGTCGGGAGATAGGAATTTCTCAGCTCCATTATAATCTTATGGGACTACTGTGGTATACGCAGTCCACCATTGACCAAAATGCCGTTATATACTGCATGATTCTGTGTCTGCGTGTGTGTGCATTACATGCGTGTGTAAGTTTTTTATATCAGCCATGTTGGTTTATAAAAACTTAGAAAAAAATCACAAAGCCACTCATAATTCTACCACTCAAATACAATCTTTTAAACATTTTAGAATACACTTTCAAGTCGTTTTGTTAAATACATTTATTTTATAGAATTCAGATCAGATTGTATGTATTTTTCGTATGCTATCATGTATTTGGAAACATTTCCTGAGTATCATTTCATTTCCCAGGTTCAAAAATATGGAGCCCAACATATTTTCAGTGGCTACATAATTCCCCACCATATGAATATAACCAAAATTTATTTAACCATTACCAGTTTGGGGCCAGAAAGGTACATTCTTTTTTAGACTGCATTATAATCAATGCCATTATAAGCATCCTCAAGGTTTTCTGTATTTCTAATCATTTCCCAGCCTCTTAGCCCACCTTATTTTTCTCCATAGCTAACCAATCAACTTGCTTATAACCAACTTAGTCTACATTTATTTTATTTACTGCCTAACTCCCTCCTCAAAATCTAAGCCCCTTGAAAGCAGAGCTTTTTATCTGATTTATTCCCAATGCCAAGTACAGTGACTGGGATGTCACAGTCACCAAATAAATACTTGTTGGATGTGGATGGGTGGATGAATAGATAGATGGAACGATGACCAGAGAGAAATACAGTATGAAGAAGATGATAAAATCCAGGGAAAATGAGGCCAGCAGAGCCAAATACTTTAATGGAGGGATTAGGGAGAGGCAGGACTTTGTGTGAGTTCTCTTGGTTACAGGCAGAAGTTTGTGCATGCGGATGCCAAGTGTGTGTGGGGCTGGGAATCTATGCTCATTGGCCAGGGGCTCTTTCAGGCCCTACTCCTCCCACTTGTTGGAGTAGACAACACCCAGGTCCAACCAGTTTCAGGCCCTATCATTATGCTACCCAAGCCCTTTTATAGGTTAAATGAGATTGTGCCAAATAAACTGTATTTCATTATTTTTGTCCCCAGTGTTGAAGGGCATGGTTGTTAATAAGCGTGATGCAAACAAGAAATAGAGCTAAGCCAGAGAGCCTCGACATAAAATTTTAAAATAAAGCGGATTGAATGCTTTTTGTTTTAACAAAAGTAGACTGGGAGAAAGCTGCGGTAATCAAAACACTGTGGTACAAAGACAGAGATATGGACTGATAAAATACGCTAGAGAGCCTAGAAACAAACCCTCAGGTATTTGGTCAAATGATTTTCAACAAGAATGCCAAGACCATTCAATGGAGAAAGGACAGTCTTTTCAACAGATTATGCTGGGAAAACTGAATAGTCACATCAAAAAATGAAATTGAACTCTTACCTTTTATCATACACAAAAATTAACTAAAAATGGATAGAACTCAAAGTATAAAACTTTTAGAGGAAAATCTTTGTGACATCGAATTTTGCAATGATTTCTTTGCTATGACACCAAAAAAGTTCAAGAAACAATACAAAAAATAGATAACCTGGACCTAACGGAAATTAATAAAAGCCACTCATCAAGAATGACAAGGCAATCCACAGAATGAGAGAAAATATTTACAAATCATACGACCATCCTAGCTAACACAGTGAAACCCTGTGGTTACAGAACCACAGCTACTCGGGAGGCTAAGGCAGGAGAATCACTTGAACCTGGAGAGTGGAGGTTGCAGTGAGCCAAGATCGTGCCACTGCACTCCAGCCTGGGCAACAGAGTGAAACGCCATCTCAAAAATAAATAAATAAATAAATAAACCTTGGGTAGGGGATTAACATCCAGGATATATAAACAACTCATAGAATTCAACAATAAAGACAAACAATCTGATTAAAAATGGAGGAAGGATTTGAATAGACATTTCCCCAAAGAATATATACAAATGGCCAATAAGCATAAAAAGATGCTGAATATCGCTACTCATTAGGAAAATATAAATCAAAACCACAATGAGACACCGCTTCACAGCCATCCTAATGGATGGCTACTATTTGTAAACAAACAACAAACAAAAACACCCAGCAAATAGAAGTGTTGGGAAGGATATGAAGAAATGCTCTCCATTGCTGGTGGAATGTAAAACTGTACACAGTGGAGAACAGTAATGATAACTTCTCAAAGAATTAAACACAGAAACCATATGACCCAGCAACTGTACTTCCATGGTTTCTGTTCCAAAGAACTAAAGGCAGGAACCTGAACAGATATTTGTACATTGCTGCTTATAATAGCATTATTCCCACTAGCCAAATGTGGAGCAACCCAAGGGGTCCGTTGACAGATGAATGGATAAGCAAAATGTGGTCTCTACACACAACGGAATAATATCCAGTTTTAAAAAGGAAGGATATTCTGACACAAGCCACAACATGGATGCATCCTGAAACCAGTATGCTAAGTGAAATAAGCCGGCCACAAAAAGACAGATGCTGTATGATTCCACTTCTGTGAGGTACCTAGAGTGGTCAAAATCAGAGAAAAACAAGTAGAATAGTGGTTCCCAGCAGCTAGGGGGAGAGGAGGAGGAGGGGTTTTAGTGCTTAATGGGTACAGAACTTCTGTTGGGGTCAGGAACATGTTTTGGAAATAGACTGATGGCTGCACAACAATATGAGTGTAAATGTCACTGAACTATACACTTAAAAAGGGGTAAATGGTAAATTTCATATCATGTATATTTTAGCACAATAAAGAAAAAGAAACCAACTGTTCATTGTTTAGAAAATATGAAAGAGGCTGGGTGCAGTGGCTCATGCCTGTTATCCCAGCCCTTTGGGAGGCTGAGGTGGGTGGATCATGAGGTCAGAAGTTTGAGATCAGCCCGGCCAATATGGTGAAACCCCATCTCTACTAAAAATTCAAAAATTAGCCTGGCGTGGCGGCACATGCCTGCAGTCCCAGCTACTTGGGAGGCTGAGGCAGAAGAATCACTTGAACCCTGGAGGCAGAGTTTGCAGTGAGCCGAGATCGTGCCACTGCACTCCAGCTTCAGCAAAACAGTGAGACTCTGCATTAAAAAAAAAAAAAAGTTTTAAAACATTGAACATTTTAAAAGAAAAACCACTCAGAGCAGTAGGTCTGATAGTACCCCACAAATGCAGCTGACCTGACAGGCACTGTGGATGGCCCGCTTGTTTGTGCTCACAGTTAACTCTTTGATCTGCCAAGAAAGCAAGGGATGGTGTGGCCAGAAGGTCTGAGACTCTGGGAAAAAATCAAGTGACCAAGAAGCTACTGCAAGGAAAGAAAAGGTTTACAGCCACTGCTCAAAAACACAGATGAGAAATCTAAGTCAGTATATTGTAAAAATAAAATGTAAGTTCACATTAGAATAACATTTAAGAAAAATCATTCAGTGGTATCTGAACTGGGTAGCCTAGTGTAAAAGATTTTTCCAAAGGCCCTTGGGGAGGACCTGATCCCACATCTTGGGGAAATAAAAAATTTTAAATATATATTTCCATGTTACCCAAAAGTTAAGGGTGTTTAAAAACTCTCTGAAATGACAAAGTAGAAGGCTTAGAACAGTTTGCACTGGCCGAAAACGAGCAATTATCACTCGCCGGAAGAAGCTGAGTCTGTAATTGTCCCCACAATTATATGATTTTATAAGAAATGTAAAAAGATCCTTAAATGCAAAAGAAGGGAGAGCATAATAAGGGAGGCTAATGCTTATTAATTTTAACAAAAGGAGGACTGTGGGGGTCTGCGAGAGTCCTACCCCTGACTTGGGGAGTATGTGGCAATGAGGCAGAAACTGCCTTGTTCCTGTTTAAGAGAAAAGCAGGGAACTCCCATAGCCAGGATCTGACAGAAAAGGTCAGGACCACCAACAACGTGGGCGAGGGGGCCTCTGGGAGCATGCTGAGTTAGTCGTTGCATAGAAAGAGGGCTCAAATCTACAAAATACAAGAAGGTGGGTCACCCAAGGGTGGGGACTGTCCTGCCTGGAGGATGAGTGGCCTCTTGGCTCTAGGGTGAGACGACTCTGTGTCCTGGGCTCTCAGACCGGGAGGGAGCCCACCAAGCTCAGGGAAAGGTCTGGCTTCCCTCATCCACCTGAGCTCTGCCCTCCCTTCAGCCGCAGCCCCAGCCTGGACCCGAGACTCCTGCGTCCTCCAGTGCTGTCCAGCCTGGGCACACCTCGGTCCAAGCCTCCCGTTGGCATTAGCCCCTCCCCAGCACCGGCTGTGCGCTCCCGCCCTCCGCACCCCACGCACCCGCCCCACACTCCTGGCACTGCTGCCTGAGCCTTCCTGGAGTTACTTAATCCATCCCAGCCCCGGGCAGTTAACCCCGCGTGCAGACCCCTCGTCCTCAGCTCTGCGGAGAGAGGGTCCCCACAGCGTTTCTGCTCCTCCCCCAAGACTGCGGCAGGGCACAGCACCAGCAAACCCCACACAGTGAGTACCTGCAAGGCAACTGCCTCTTTCCTTCTCATTAATAATAGAATCAGGTCCCTTCTCCAAGGGAAGACCCTGCCTTGCAGCCCCAGACTGGCCTGCCCCTTCTCGCAGGCCCGCTCCGAATCCTGGGTAGGACTCAGGACAGGCTCCGGGTGGCCCAGCCCTTCCGAGAGCGTGGCGGTCGGCGCGGCAGGCGCTGGGCGCTGAGGGGGAGGGGCTCCCACACCTGTGCTCTCCCGGGAGAGGAGACCGCGGCGGGGGCGTTGTGCGCACGGGGGCGAGGGGAGACGACTGCGCCTGAGGGAGGCACAGCCGCAGCCGGGTGGGAGGCAGAGACACCCAGAAACAGAGAGGGGCGACACGCACAGACAAAGCCGGCCCGAGCCCGCCCGAGCGTAGCAGCCCCCACCGCGGCCGGCGCGCCCCCCGCCACCCCCGCGTACCCGCGCCGGCCCTCGCCCAGGCCCGGCCCTCGCCCAGGCCCTCCCCTCCCGCCGGCCTCCGGTGGCTTAACCCTCGCCTGCCCGGCCCCGCGGAGCCCCTGGAGCGGCGGTAGGTGGGTGCGGGCGCCGCGCCTCCCCTTCCAGGCCGCGGCCCGCGGCGCCGGGAGCTGACCGTGGTGCTAAGCGCGGCTAGCTCTCGAACGCGGTGGCCGACCCAGTCGCGGCCGCGCCCTGTTACACTGCCGGCCCCCAGCGGTAAGTCGCCAAGGCCCCGAGAGGCTGCGTGGGTCCTGCCCCGCGGTTGTGGACCCTGGGGGGAGGGCGAGGATTGGGGAATTTGCTGCGTTCTCTGGCGCGATGGGTGGGCTGAGTGCAGGAAGCAGGGTCGGCACCCTCGACCCAGCTGTGCCAGGCGCAGTCAGGGACCTGGGGGCGGTGACCCTTTTAGGTCTGGGCTAGTGAAGCGACGAAACCCTCCACCCGCGGATGCAGGGGCTGGGGGAGAGCCGATAAGGCTGTGAGGCCCGTCTCTTTGCCACTGGGCAGGCCAGGACCTCCCAGAGGCGCGCTCCGAGAAGGTGGGCCAGTACCTTCCCTCCCCAGAGGTCCCTTTGTCTCCCCAGCGTGGGGGTTGGGTGGCTTGGTGGTGCTCTCTCTGCAGATTCTATTTCTGCTTCATTCCCCACTCCCACTCCCACCCCCAACCCAGAGCACAGTCGCTTTCCTTCCCCACAGGGGCCCTCACTCCAGCCCTCCCATGACAAGACAGCCTACTACGGAGAACGCTATTGCCCCATAGCTCTGCCCCCAGCCGAGTGTTCAGAGGTCCCTGGGCCTAAGCTTTTTTTTTTTTTTTTTTTTTTTTTTTTAAATCACCATATACTCCTTTGTAGCTCACTGCTGTGACCTTCCTGGACACCAGGAAAGGCATAACAAATACCGAAACTATTAGCCAAATGTTTTGTGTGTCAAGGCGCTTCTGTTATATGTTTATTCCTCCAGGGTTTTTATTTTGCTCCATGAAATCAAACAGCCAGACACTTTCATGTTAAGAAAGGAAAGAAAGGCACAGAATTACCTTCTCAAAGGAAAAAGAAAATGCTGGGCAGCTAAGCCTGAGTTAGTCATGTAGAAAAGCAACCAGTAGAATAACTTCATTTGCTCAATTTGCAATAAATTCACATCTGTGTGTGCTGTGTAAAGCACTGTGATGGCAGGTGCACAGACACGGGAGTCTCTGCCTCCACCTTCTCTCTCCTTAACCCTGCTTGGGCTCCTGACTCACCTCCATGTCTCCACCGTCCATTTTCACCTGCAACTGGAGTCATCTTTGAAAGTGAGAATTGGCCCCTGTCACGCACCCTCAGAGGCTGGTTCCCCGTGGCTTGCAGATAAAAGCACAGCCCTCCCTGAGACCTCAAGCTGGGTGTGGTGTGCACAGCCCATCTCCACGCCTCATCCCTCTGGCCTGCTGCTCTGCTCACTTTCAGATCCTTAAATATTCTCCTTCTCTTGATCCTCAGGGCCTTTCTGAAGGGTGTCCTCTATGCCTGGAATATGTGTCCAATGTCTTTGGCCTGACTGTCCTCTTCTGTCTTTTAGGGTTTGGTTTAAATATCACATCCTTGTAACAGAATTGATTAAGTAAATACATTGTGTGGTCCCTGTTCCTATGGAATTTGCAAGTTCATCTCAGAGATGAAAGACTCAGTCCAGGGCCCTGGTGTCACTGAAACCTGTCTTAGAAAATGACGCACATAATAAAAAAGTTAGCCAGATGTGATGGCGTGTGCCTGTAGTCCCAGCTACTTGGGAGACTGAGGCAGGAGAATTGCTTGAACCCGGGAGGCGGAGGTTGTAGTGGGCTGAGATTGTTCCACTGCACTCCAGCCTGGATGACAGAGTAAGCGTCTGTCTCAAAAAAAAAAAAAGAGAGAAAAGAAAATGATAAACATAACCTGTATCACAGAATTAAAATCTCAGACTCTGCATCCTGTTTAGGGAACTTAGATCTAAATATTTGGCTAAGATGTCTCAAACATAAAATAGTTTATTTAATTAAGTAATAGCTGACCGCCTCCTATAGTTGGAATCCTGGACCTTAAAGGATTTTCAGTCTCATTGGGGAGTGAGATCAAGTACCAGAATGAATAGTTTATGGTTGCTGAGCCTTGCAGACAAGAGGGCACCAGGAGGGTAGGGACAGGTCTGAGCTCTCCTTGGGGGAGGGTTGTGACACTTGTGGGAGTAGACCTGTCACATTTCTTGCCGGGGTTCCACTGACAGGGTCTATAACCACAGGGTTACAAAACAGTGCATTTTTGCAATTGAGAAACGGGATACATTTGGCCTTTGCCCTCAGGCAGTGACGATGCCAGCATCTGGCTGTCCACATAAATCTCACTCTGACCCAGAGAATTGTCACAGGAGTCGACTTCTCAGCCTGCCTCCAGCCAAGCAGTGGGCCCTCCAACCACCCAGGGAGTTCCCACCCCCGTCACAGGTCACACATTTCCAAAGAGACAGATTCCGATAAAATATTTTAATGTGGATATGAACTGGACTGAACACAGACTAGAGTTCATGGGATGCTCCAGTATTGCTTAGCCTCTGGTTCATCATTCTGTAGCCTGTGATTATTGTCCAGTCTCTACGTGGAGTGCTGAATAAACTCAGGAGGTGGGCTTAGCATTGTTAGTGACACTGAGTCCAGCCATCTGTAGCAATGACAACTATTTTAAGGGATCATTTTTCAAGTTCAGAGTGGAGTGAAGTTTCCAACTGTTCATGATTTTAAATCAGTTGACTGTTACAAGAACTGAGAAGCTGGTAGTTTTATTTATAGACATTATATCAAATAAAACATTTTTGTTTTTGCAGTTGCAAAATTCTGCACGCAGTGAAATAATCCTTGCTGTGCCTGGCTGAAGTTATTTCCAAAAGAATGTCAATCAAAAGATTTTTCCAAAACATAGAAAAGAATAAGGAAAATAGAGATCTCATAATGAATATTTCCCAAATTTCCTGCCATAAGAATTATTATTACCTTCAATTATAATTTTTATAAATGTGTGTGAGCTACTCTTCTTGCTTTTAATTTTCACTTTCATTGTTTTACAATGTTTTTCATGAAAACACATTTATTATTCTACTTTTAGATTTCCCACAAGAGTCTGAGCTGTTGCTTTATAGAATGTCAGGCTTCGAATCAGATAGGCCTGGGCTCAGATCCCGGCTCTGTCACTTAACACCTGTGTGACTTGGGTCAGTTCACTGACTTTTCTGAATCTGAATTTATACTTTATAAATGGGGATTACAATAGTGTGCCCCTCATAAGGTTATGGGCCAAGATCTGCACCTGGTGAGGTGGGTGTAACCAAGACTCCAGCCAGGGTCATCTGAACCACGGTTTGGAGAGTAAGCCCTGTGCTGTGTGCAGCTAAGCCCAGTAGAGCTGGGGAGGCCTTATCATGACTGCAAAGGATTGTGCAGAGCGGAGTCTGCAGGTGCAGGGTGGGAAAGGCTTAGGCATGCACCATCTGGCAAGAGGCAGAAAAGCCGGTGTGGCTGCTCATGGCATTCTCCCTCTGTCCAGGGTGCCACCAGCAACAGCTGAGCTGAAGTTGGAGCCCAGCCCAGGTTCTGTGGCTTTCCTGGCATGGTGCCTGCTTCTTCTCTCATCCTCCAACCTAAAGTGTGAGGTGCTGCTCCAAGGGTAGGAAGCACTTCCCTCGGGTGGGAGTTGGTAGAGGCTGGTCGGCTTGCCCCTGCCAGTTCCTGCAATGCCAGCGCTTCCACCCCTTCCCATCTTCTTGGCCTCAACATGCCCACTGGGCTATGAGGCAGCCCCTCGCCCACCTGGGTCCTCATGAAGAAGCATTTCAGGGTCTCTGGTAGATAGCCGCAAGGCTTACTTGGGGTGGGGTGTGAAAGGCACATAAGCTGACGGAGCCCCAGGTCATGCTCATGCCGGCTGCAGGCTTCCTCACAGCCAGGAGCTAGGGGATGAGTGCAGGGCTACTGCCGGGTAGTCCTTATGGAGAGGCAAAGGAGCCAGCCACAGTCTCTCCCTGGCCAGACCAACAGAGGACTGACCCTCAGGCCACTCACCACCAAAAAAGGTGGAGACCCTGGCAGACAGAGATGTTTCTGAGGAAAGGAGCAGCCTGAAGCCAGGGCCGTGAGGACACAGTGAGGGGAACAGAAAGGAGGGGCTCAGTCTGTCCTCTCTTCCTGGGTACTGAAGGTCTCTACACACACCCCAAGGCAGCATGTTTAAAACTAGACTTCGACTCTTTTTCACCTTGGCTCAGCCCCCGCCCTCCTCCCTTCATTTCCCTCCTTGACTGTCAAACGCTCTTGGTGTAGATCCAAGCCTTGGCCTTCAGAACTCCCTGCCTGCTTCTCTTCCTGCTATTGCTGAACCCTGGCATTCTTCCCTTTGGAAAACCCTGTGTTACCCCTACAGCCTCCATCTGCCTTGCTCCCCAACCTCACCCCATTCGGACTGCTTCTGGCAAGTCCTGTCTGCTCACGACTCATTTTTTTCTGTCCTCCACTCAGAAGTCAGATGCTAGTCCTAGACCACTAACTTCATTACAGTCCTGGCTTCCACCCACCCACTGGAAGATGGCTGCAGCTCCCCACTGATCTCAGGATAAGGCCGGATGCCCTAGCTGGGCCGGGACAGTCAAGTGGCTAGTACTGCTGCCACCTGTCCACCTCTGTGCCCAGGGCAGATCCCAGCACCCTTTCCCTCTGAACTCAGACCAGGCTTCAGGAACCTTCTCTGGATGGCACCGCAGGCATCAGTATGCATCAATGATGCATGCACAAAAGGTGGCAGCTGCCTGCCCTTGCAACCCTGCCTGCCCATCCTGTGTCCCATGCTCGTCTGCCACCACAGTTCCTCCTGTCCGTGCTCTGCATGCACCGTGAGGTGCTGGGCTGTGTCTTGCCTGATGGCCTCTGTAGATGAAGCCTGGCCTTCCCCGACAGGCACACAGTTCTGGAGTTTGCAGGATGCACGCCCCCACAGCCCCAGCTGAGGGCCAGCTGCCTTCAGCCCAGGAGGCAGGCAAGCGTGGGTGTCCTTTTAGCTGCCTTGATGAAAGAAGCAACTGCCCTAATTGGATCCTCTGCCCATTCACTCAGAAGGGCTGTGATACCTCCTCCTCAGGACATGCTGCATCCGATATACTGAGGAGCTGTTTGTAGAATGCTAGGCATTCTACACAGAACATGGGAGTCTGAATGAGCCAAGTGAGCTAAAAAGGGGATCGGGAGAGCCAAGCACTCATGGGTGCAGCAGTCACCAGGCCCCAGGGAGCTCTCATTTTGGCTCCTACTGTGTGCATTAGGCTGTTGTCTATAAAACCAGGAGCAGTGAGTGAGCATGGCGGGGCTGCTCCCATCTCTCCCCTGACCTGCAAGGAGGGTCTCCTGGGACAGAGGCCCCTGGAGAGAGTGGGCTGTGTGAGAGCGGTAGTCAGGGTCTTCCAGACTCCGGGCGCTCCCATCTATGATATTGAGTGCCTCCTGCTTTCCTCCACAGCAGCCGGGGCACAGGCAGCATGGAGCTGAAGAGAGGAAAGACCTTCATCAAGTCCAGCCTGCAGGTTTCCCACGAGAAACCGCCAGACCCAGCAGCCAAGGCTCCAGCCAGGGAGGGGGCAGGCCCCTGGTCAGTCCTGCCAGGAGGGCAGCCGAGGCCCCATGTTGAGAAGGGCCCCCAAGCCAGCCCCAGTGCCCAAGGATATGACAGATGCCCCAACAAAGGGACACAGCTGGACCCCAAGGGGGGACCCGCAGCCCTCTGTGGAACCGCCTTAAAACCTGTGAGAAAGAGCAAGACTCACGACAGTGTGTCTGGGGCAGGCAGGGCCTCTGCTGCCACAGGGCAGCTGGTGGGCAGTGCAAGCTTTCCGGGCTCTCCGGGCAGCCGGCGCATGATCGACTACCGCCACTTTGTGCCCCAGATGCCCTTCGTGCCGGCTGTGGCCAAGAGCATCCCGAGGAAGAGGATTTCCCTGAAAAGGCCCAAGAAGTGCTTTCGGAACCTATTCCACATTCGCAGAAACAAGGCCGAGGACTTAGCCTCTCTGGCTGCCGAGGGGAAGAACCTGCCCTCCGCAGGGGACCCGTCAGACCCTGGGGGCCGGCGAAGCAAAGCCTTCTTCCCCTCGGGTGAGGGGCCAGGTGTGGACAGCCTGTGCCAGGACCTGTCGGACAGCGAGCTCCTGGCCGATGCATCCTTTGGTCTCTGCAGGGCCCTGTGTGAGGACGTGGCTTCACTCCAGAGCTTCGACTCGCTCACGGGTTGTGGGGAGGTCTTTGCAGATGAGAGCTCGGTGCCATCCTTGGAGCTGAATGAGGACCCAGAGAGCCCAACCCAGGGCCTGGAGAGCAAGGTTCCCAGGGGTCCCCTCCAGGGCAGTGTGGAGCAACTGGCCTCGCCCGCCCAGAATGAAGTCTCTGACTTCACCAGGTTCTGGGACAGCGTGAATCGCTCGGTGCGGCAGCAGCAGCGCGCCCTGCTGGGCCCTTGGCTTGCGGGCCCCCAGGGGACAGACAGGGACCAGCCCCGGCTGGACGCAGCTGGGCTAGCTGAGCTGCCCCTCTGCCCCTGCAGGGACCCTCGCAGCGGCTCCAAAGCCAGCTCCATCGACACAGGAACCCCCAAGAGTGAACAGCCGGAATCCGTGTCCACAAGTGATGAGGGCTACTATGACTCCTTCTCGCCAGGCGTCGAGGAGGACAAGAAGGAGGCCGAGAGCCCAGGCACACCTGCCGCCACCTTCCCACGGGACAGCTACAGTGGGGACGCCCTCTACGAGCTCTTTCACGACCCCAGCGAGGGACCTGTCGACCCCAGTCCAGATGATGACCTGTGCGTGTCTGAGAGTCTGTCGGGGCCAGCCCTGGGGACGCCACTGTCCATGTGCAGCTTCCGAGTGGGGGCCGAGGAGAACCTGGCCCCAGCACCAGGCCCTGACCTGCTCAGCCAGGGCTTCCTGCAGAGCTCCTGGAAGGGCAAGGAGTGCCTGCTGAAGCTGTGTGACACCGAGCTTGCCATCACCATGGGCATCGTCAGCTGGCTGCGCCGAGGCCCCACGCCCCGTGCTCCACCCACCCCTGGGCAGCCCGTAGCTCCGCCTGGTCCCCAGGGGACCCCCAGGGCACCCACAGAGAAACTAGGGGGCAGGGAGGGCATGGCCTCAGATGCAGGGGGGGCAACAGTGTGCTCAGCACCCAGCAGGCAGGAGCTGTGGGCACACCTGGGCACCACAGACCTGCTTGCTGGAGAGAGCAAGGCCCTCGGGGGGGCCACACAAGGGACCAGCACGCTGTCCAGGGATGCCTCTCGAGAGGAAGGGACACGAGGTTGCTCCGAAGGCTTGTTCTCCTCTATGGAGTCTGCAGCCACTTCGACAACAGACACTTCCAGTAAAAGCAAGACCCCAATCCCTTCTGCCTGGCCTTGCTCCCAGAAGGAGCCTGGGTCACCGGGGGTCCTGGGGTGTTTCCAAGGCCCCTGGAGGCCAGGTCACGGGGGTGGCACTCTGGATGCAGAGCCCATGCTGGCAAGCTGTGCGGCCCGTGTGGCAGACCTGAAGATCAGCTCAAACGACCAGCCCCTGGCCGCATGGCCTCCAAGGCTGGACATGGGCAGTGGGCTCTTCGGGCAGCGCCAAGCCAGGGGCCCTGACATTCTGGAGCAGAAACAGTCTAGCAGCTCCCCCAGCATGGCCACTGTCCATGGCCTACCCTACTCGGCCAGCACACAGGACCAGAGGTGTCGAGATCGTGTCCGGGACCTGAGCTGGCTCAGGGTGGAGCCCACCGGGCTAGGTGTCCAGGCCTGGGCCTCTCTGGAGGACCAGTCCCTGCAGCTCAGCACACGGGCTGTGGAGCAGGTAGCACACAGCAGCCAGCTGGACTCTGAGCCCTCCTCAGCCCCTGCTGCCCGGTGGAGTCCCCGGGGCCACCATCCAGACAGCTTGGTTCTCGCTTTGAACAGCCAGCAGGAGGGGGTGGTCTCTGCAAGTGCCCCAGAATGCCGCTGCAGCCTCCTGGCCCGTGAGGGTCTCCTCTGTGGTCAGACAGAAGTGGGGGCCTCCAGGCCAGCCATGGCCGAGCCCCACCTGTAGGACAGGCTCACACGCATCAGGAACTGCATGTGTCTTCATGACCACTTTCAGCAGAGCCTAGGACTCAAATCTCTATCTTTTGTCCCTGATGGGAGGACTGTGCTGGGGGAGGGGTGGCAGGACTCAGGCATGCAGAGGCTAGCACGTTCATATGGAGGCATCCTTGCCTGAACCCACCAGCTCAGGCAGCCCACAGCCAAAGCCAGCGCGACACAGCAAGGACCTAGCTGCTCCTCATGCAGATGCTGGAGAGAGGAGCTGGGGCTTGAAACTGATGGGGAGAAAGAGCTGCACATTGTAAATGGGAAGCAGAGAGCCAGTGAGTCTACACAGGATGTGTGGGAAGCCCAAAAGGCACAATCCCAAATGCCATAGTCCCAAGTGTTAAGAATCCGAAAGATCAAAGTTACTCTAAAGTCTTAAAGTCACAATCCTAAAAGAGCTAAATCCTGGAAACATAATTCTGGGAAAATGTTTTTTAAAAAATTTAAAGATACTTATTTACATCTTAAAAGGATTTATTTGAGAAGCATATGAAAACACAACAGAACACATCATCAGCCACTTTACACAATAAAATAGGCAATAATTCATATTTTTGCAAGCATAAACAGGTATAGTAATGACAGTCACATGCGTGTGAGTTATTAGAAGACAAACTATATTTGTAAAGAAATAGGTGAAAATAGGGATGTATACATGCATGTCAGTGTGCGTGGTAATTGTCTGCTCGTGGCTTTATATCTGCAGTTATATCAGGACTAACAACCTCAGTCTTTTGACGAAGTCAATCAATGATGGGTCACCACCACACATGCAATTGCCCAAAGAGCACAGATGGCAAGAACTTTCATCTCTCACAAATGCAGATGTACAAAAATTACACTCTTCATTTATTGAGGAAGTCTTGACGTTTGTATGCACACACACAATGCTTACACACGCACAGTCAACCTGGGATGCCAGCAGGGTGGCTCAGAACGAAAGCTTCAGGACTCAGGACGACCACAGCTGTAAGTTCCCAAGTCCAAAGGCCAGCGAACCTGGAGCTCTGGTGTCACAGCAGCAGAAGAAAAGCCTGTCCTGCCTCTCAGAGACCAATTCACCTTCTGTATTTGTTCCCTCTGGGTCCCAGCAGATTGAATGCTGCCCACCGACACTGAGGGTGGGTCTTCCCCACCTAGACCCCTCAGACTCACACACTAATCCCTGGAAACACCTCACAGACATGCCCCAAATAATGGTCTACCAGGTCTCCAGGTGTCCCCTAACCCAGTTGAGTTCACACCTGAAGTGGAGTCCGCAGGTCCACCCCTTGTTGGCTCGGCATCCTTCCATGTCTCCTTAAACCTCGCTCAGTCTTCAAATAAAGCCCCAAACAAGGCGCTCGTTCCACCTAACGTGCAGCTATCCTGGGATTGTGATTTTCAAGACTTTAGATGTTAGGGATTTGAAACTTTAGGGGTTTGGGTCCTTCGGTATTTCAACATTGAGGACCAGTGTTTGGGATTACGTCTTTCAGAATAAAGATCCAAACTTGTGTGAGGACAGGGAGGCTCGAGGCTCGGGATGGAAGACCGACGCGGCGTGGAGGGCGAGCCCAGGAGGGCCCACTGGCCTCCATCTGGCCCCAGTCTGGCCTACTCTCTGCCCCAGAACAGGTGGCTACAACGTGCTGAGGGCCTGAAGGGCGTCTCCTCAGGAACACTGTATTACTGTTTTGTGTTGCTATAAAGGATTACTGTGACCAACTCATTTACAAAGAAAGGTTTATTTGGCTTACGATTCTGCAGGCTGTACAGCCATGGCACCAGCATCTGCTTCTTTCTTTTTCTTTCTTTCTTTTTTTTCTTGAGACGGGGTCTCACTTCGTTGCCCAGGTACGAGTGGGAGTGCAGTGGCACGGTCTTGGCTCACTGCAACCTCTGCCTGCTGGGCTCAAGCAATCCTCCCGTCTCAACCTCCCAAGTAGCTGGGACTACAGGCGTGTGCCACCATGCCAGGTGGTGGATTCTTTGTCACGAGTCATCCCCTAGAAACAATTATTTCCCTCTGCTTGCACTCTCTAACTAGAGCTATGGACAGCCAAATGCTCTTTGGGAAGAAGCCAGTGGATTCTCCCCGGCTCTGCCTGTAAGTAACAAAGGCTTTTGTCTCCACCCCCTCCACACTGTCAGATCCCCACTTCCCTTCGAAAACTTTGAATGGGGCTGTGGCCCTCATTCCCTCAAATGTCACAACACATGTGCAGCACCCAGACATTCAAGCCATGAAGGGCGAAGGGGTTGGTGTCTTTAGGAGGGACAGGTGTCTGTCCTGGCCCTGCGTCAGGTCAGCAGGTGCAGGGACAGACGGGCCATCCACATTCTCCAGGATTAGCTTCTACCTCAGGCAGCCCGCTGCAGCAACATGCCAGGATGGGGCTCCAGCCGCGAAGTGGGTTTCTGGAGGAAAGACCAGCACAGGACAAGGGGTTGGTCAGGTCGCAGGCAAACTGCTAGGGAAGTCCCATCGCATGCAGAGCTCCCACCGAGAGGGGCACGAGGCGTGCTGCCTGGCTGGAGAAGGCAGCACAGGCTCTGCAGCTGAAGGTGGCGCTCCTGCAGGGGACGCCGGTCAGTGCCTCTCCAGACTGCCTGATGCCTGGTCTCCGGTGGCCCTCTCTCACCAGGGCTCACTGAGGCCTGCTGCGAGCAGGATATAGCCTGCACATCACAGCTTCCAAAGCACACAGCAGGGCTCTGACCGGGCCTGTCCAGACTCAAAGCCGCTGTGGAGCCACACCTGGGCCCTCCTCCCAGGACCACACACAGGGCCATGGCCGCATCACGAGCCGAGCTGGGGGCAGGTTCCACCAGATTTGCTCACCTGATCCTTGTATCAACCTCAATGCAGTTGTCAGCCTCATTTTTCAGAGCTGGACACGGAGGCACAGGGGGCTGGTGCGACTTGCCCACAGTTAGTGTGCAGGGTGCTAGGCTTTTGTGCCCTCCCAGCTCCAAAGGCCCTGCTCTTCCTCAGGCTCCAGAACCTCTCACTGAGCTCCTGCCGTGAGGCCCCACTCAGAGCCCTCACCCCTTCCTGCTTTCAGGCTCCAGATATCAGAGCACCTTGGGTGCCAGCCACAAGTGCCCCTCCGGCAGGCTTAGCGCCCAGGGGGAGGCTGCCTGACTCAGCCCCAACCTGGGGCTTTGTGCTGCACCTGAGGGAGTAGCCGCTCTGTCAATCCTTGTTGAAAGAATGAAGCGTCACAAGGCCGTGCGTGCTTTTCTGATTTCTTATTGACCAGGAGGCTTGTGTCTGGAAAGAAACAGAGTCAAGGTCTAAGGGCGACTCTGGCCTGAGTGCCAGCCGCCTTCCCCCTGGCAGGGACAGAGCCCTCCCTGTGCCATGCTGTGATGCCATGCAGTGACTCGTGGTGATGAAGAGCTCGGCCAGGCCCAATGGTGCTGGGAAGGGCAGGAATCCAGGATCAGGGAGTGGTCAGGAGGGCCAGGGGTCCGGAGGGGGTCCAAAGGGTGCCCAGACCCCAGGCCATGCATGGTCTACAGGGACCTGGCTGCAGGGCCATGCCTCCTGGAAGGACCTGCTGGCCTCGGCTCTCCATTTGGGGGCACTATAGGCAATCCCAGCACCCCAGATTCAAATTCAGCATCTGGGGCTGGGGTCCCAGAAGTGGCCTGCTATACACCCTGCTGGAGATGGGGGAGGCAGTGTGATCTCTCTCTCTGCACCCCACCCTCAGCCTGTCCTTCCCTGAAGGTTTCAGGGTGACCTGCTATGGGTAAAGAAGGGAACTTCAAGACCAGCTCCCGGGACATGTGCCTAGCCCAGCACTGGGAGCGGAAGAGCCTGGCTGGGCATCTTCAGACCTCCTTGGTCATTTCCAGCCCTCTAGTCCACACATGGCTGTAGAGGTGACAGCAGATTTCCCCAAGTGAAATAAAATCCTGAGAAGTGGTCCTGAGCTCACAGCTGTCCCACAGAGTCTGCGTGACTCGCCCAGGATCCTAGAGTCCTGCAGGCTGTGGAAAAGGGCTTTGCCCAGGGGCAGTGCACTGGGACTTCCAGCCTTCCTTGTTGTGTTGGGAAGCTGGGAACACTGGGTGGGGCCAGGAAGGAGAGAGGGAGGAGGACAGGGAGGACGGGCGGGAGGCGCTGGAAAGGAGAAGGGGTGGAGGCCAGCGCAGGCCGGGGGAGACTGCAGACTACCCAGGCTGCTTCACGTCTTTCCTGGTTTCCTATTTTATTTTATTTTATTTTCTGGAATGGGACTAAATACACAGGATACAAAACAGAAGGCATAGCAGGGAAACAGTGAAAGTGGAATCTCCATCCTTCCTCCCTCAGCGCTCTGTTGTCGCAAAATTAATTCACTCTGACAAAAGACAAAATTGCAACAAATTTCATTGCAGATCGAATTGGCTTTTATTTGTGATTCTTGAATGGGGCAGCCTCCATTCTACAAAACAGAATGAGAGCAGCTCCAGGCAATGGCAGAACACTGGGTTTTACAAGGTCGGGGCAAAAAAACAGTAACAGGAAAGAAGCTGACCAGTGAACGCAGGCCACCTCAGGTGACTGCACTGTAAGGGCTGAAGCAGAGGGGACGTGCTCCTCACACAGACTCGGCAGACTAGAACCTCTCATTTCCAGGAGTGAAACAGCCCCTTCCTTCACCTTGAAAAGGTTTCAGAGTAGCCCTACTCGGGTAGACTGGAACCTCTCATTTCCAGGAGAATCTAGTCTGTTTGGAAACCTATCTGCTTCCTTAAAGTTTTGGTTGGTGATGTGGCATTTAGCATGCGTGACAGCACTGGGGTTTGGTCTGGCCTGGGGGACCCTGGGCAGGAGCTGAGTCCGGAGCCGGGGCCACCTGGGGTTGTGGCTTCACCACACTGACCACACCCAATCCAAACAGCCCGAGTGCAGAGCCCCCATTCCTCCTTTCTCCAGCCCTGGTGTGAGACATCAGACTCACTAGTCCCGTTAGACACATACTGTTAACGGAGAAACCACACTCTGTCGAATATCTTAAAGAGGCTTATCCTGAGCTAGTATGAGTGACCGCGGGCCCAGGAAAACACAAACCCAAGAAGCCTGGAGTAAGTGGGCCCGATGCAGTCGGATTACAGTTTGGTTTTATCTATTTTAGGGAGGCAGTTGCTACAGGCAGAGCATAAATCATACTTGCCTGAAAAATCTACCTAAAATAATAAAACAAAAAGATATAAATCAATCCAGGAAGTATACATTGGTCCAGCCCCAAAAGGTGGGATGTCTTGAAGTGGGAGGGAGAGCTTACAGGTTATAGGTGGCTTTAGAGATTCTTTAATTTGCAGTTGGTGAAAGGAGTCAGGCTCTGTCTAACACTTTGAGTCAGCAGAAAAGAAAGTTTTCAGTTCAGGTAAGAATGCTATCTATCTAGCAAGATTGCTGGCCTGCAGGCTGACATAACCCTGGCCTTGCATGGCCTTGGGTCTTGCTTATAATTTGGCATCTTATTGCTCCAAAGGGTCTTGGCTGGTGCAGGAGAATTACAGCTGTAATGCTAACATTTTGTGAGGCTGAGACAGGAGGACTGCTTGAGTCCAGGAGTTTGAGACCAGCCTGGACAATATGGCGAAACCCCGCCTCTACAAAAAATGCAAAAGGTTGGGGCATGGTGGCTGTCACCTGTGGTCCCAGCTACTTGGGAGGCTGAGGTGGGAGGATCATTTGAGCCCAGAAGGTTGAGGCTGCAATGAGCCATGATCATGTCAATGCACTCCAGCCTGGGGTCAGAGTGAGACCCTGTCTCAAAAAAAAAAAAGTGTCTCTTCTGTCAGTTTTACAGTTTCTATTTCAACATTGGTGGTCAGTTGTGCCTAAACTTCAAAAGGGTGGGGTATAAAGAGGTGCGACTGACCTCCCTTCCTGTCACGGCTGGTAATTTAGATTTTGTGGAGTTTCTGGGGTCCCCTTGGCGAAGTGGGATTCCATTCAGTTGGTGGGGCGCTTAGGATTTTATTAGTTTACAACACGTGAACTTTAACGAGTTTTACTGCCCGGGACATCCTCCGCAGCTTAGCAGGCACTGCAGTGGGCAGCTCCCCCATCCTTCTGCACAGCTGCATTCCTGGAGGAAGCAGTTAATTTAAACACTCCCCTGCTGATGGACATTCAGGTTACCTCCCACTTGCTGTTAAAACAATGCCGTACTCACTCCTTCACTCCCTGAAGTGGTCACCACTAAAGTCCTCTCAAAAAATGAAACTGCCTTGACAAAGAAAAGATGCATTTTTTAACATGAAGAGTGCCTCTTGGCTCTAGCCCCCACCCACTGCCCATTGTCTTGGGGCCCTGGCATGGCTGCCTGGACCCCAGGCCTATATGAACATCACACACCCTGCCTTTGAGAGGGGAGACATTTTTTATTATTACATGCAAAGACCTTGGAAGTGGCCATTCTCATACTTCAATAAGAAAAAGCTGGGCACACCAAAACCCAATGACTTTTCTTGACCTATCTGAGAAATGAAGTCACAGGGCAAACAATCTTCCAGAAACCTGGAGAGGCAGACCATCCAGAGAAATTCAACAACCAAGACCTGTGGTTGGGAGTAAAATCTCTAGATACCCAAAGCTGGTAGAAACACTAAAATTAAACTGCCGACAAGTTGTTGCAGGCTGAAGAAGCTGGGGGCTGGGCAATGAAAAGGGTCCAGGGTCAGAGGCTTTTCCTCCAGGAACCACTCCACATATTCAGAGTGA